TTAAAAAAAAAAAAAGTTATACTCAAGTTTCTGGAAGTGAAGGAGAAAAACCTGACTAGAAGGAACATAACTTTAGGCACTTTGGTGACACAGAGTAGCCTAGGTTTTGGGGGTGGGTCTTTGCTTGACGCTGACAGTGTAGCAAATATTGCATGACACCAACAGTAAGAAAACTGTGAGTTTCATACGGCTCCTGAGTTCCTGACTTACAAGAACAGCCATGCCCACCTGACTCACCTAGAATGTGAGAGTCAAATAAAGGAGCAAATAGAATTCTGTACATCACACAGTGCTCACTTGTAAGGTAACAGAAAGTTATCCCCTGCTTTTTAAAAGTTCATTTAATTTTACAAAAGACCTACATTAGTACCTGTTTGTGCTAACCAGAAGAACTGAAAGGAGGCTTCTCATTTCTGTGATAATTTACAACAAAAGACAGAAAACAAAACTAGCTTGATGGCAGCAGCTGTCACAGAAGCAACAGACACCCCACAACAGCGAGGAGGGCACCGCTAAGCTTCTTCCTGGGTACTATGGTATACAGGCTGTGTATATTACATCACCCTGCTAAACATATGCGAATGTTATTTAGAGTTTTATGTGTTATCTGTTATGGCCCGGAGGTTAGGTTTTCAATAGAGAAACACTCAAAACTTTTGCCATCAAAAAGACAAGAATTGTTTTCTTGTTCATGCTGCTGGGGAAGAGGGAGGTTCATTACAAGCCTGGCCAGCGCCCAAAGGTTTAGCAGGAAGTGCCAGGCTGAAGGATAAGAACCAGCTCCAGATTTACACTTTAATATCCTGATTCCCTGGAGAGAATTCTCCCTGTGTCTTCTTTCTTAAAATCCTTACTCCCCCTGCATAATCTCCTGGATTGCTGGTTTCATCTGCCCCAGCACAAATATTCACTCATAAATTTAGATTCTTCTGCCTTTCCCCAATGATAGAATGGGCAATGAATCCTTACACATTCAGGGGAAAGAAATATTCCAGAAAATCCCAACTCTAGTGGCCATTTCTTTCCACATTTTGATGACCAGTGTCACCTTTCATGATCTTCCTCCAACTGCATAATGACTTCATTTTTGTTTCATAGATTATAATCTCTCTAATACAGAGCACTGCTGAACAAAGCTTGATTTAATAAAAACAGAATAATCTCTCTGGTACACTGAGTAAAAATGTACACTTGTAAGGAAAGGAAAGTTTCACAGAGCAGCTGTTACCAACATTTGAACACTTTCTGAAGTTGATTCTGAAGCCATTTCAATCCATTTCTCACGATATTATTTCTTCCATTACTCCTACAATGGTAAGGGTTTGGTAATCTACAGAGAGGAAGACTTTGGAATTGAATTAGCTTTAATCTTAGTCAATTAATGAATTTAGATTAATGTTTTCCTCTTAATTGCTTCCATTTTATCATCTGTATCATGATATCAATATCAAGGTTGTTTTAAAGGAGTAACTTGAATATCTACAGATGATGTTACTGGCACATTACGATCTCCCATAAATAGTGCTCAGAAATATTACTTCTCATTAGAAATGATTCCACTAATTACCTCTGCTCCAAATCCAACAGATTGTTTCAGTTCTTAATCTTAGATTTTTGTGTCATTCTTCTATAAATTCTGTCCTTGCACTAATGTAACTGCTACTATGCGCTTCTAAAACCACTGGCTTATTTTCTAGAGAAAAAATAACAGTCTTTAAAAAGCAGTAGCTGTAGTGTAAGCAGGCCCTAATCATTCTAGGTTTTCTAATCATTCTAGGAGCCAAATCTATTTGATTATTCTTCATTAGTGAGAATAAGAATGAAACCCTAAGAGGAAGAGGGCTTCATTTAATTCTCTGCGTTCTAAATATAAATGCGCGCAATAAATTTAATGTAATCAATATGTTAATAAGTATTAAAAACTCTTTGGCCTGTTTAATCGACATTGGAAATTGCCAGCAAATTATAGACCAATCAAAGTCTCTTAACTTAAAAAGAGCAATATAAGCTACTTTGCAAACAAAAGGTAAAACAAAAGGTACAGAGCAACAGCGAAGAAACAGGTTCTCCACAACTCTGTGTGGCTCCAGGAGTCTATGCTACTACATGACATAAAAGCCAAGGGTTATAAAATCAGGGAGCATGAGCAGTGTGTCTGGAGGACTTTCAAAGGAGACAGAAAGAGGTGGGAGTCATTTTCAATCACAACTGACTCAAAGCAGCAGCAGACAAGCAAGGTAATTTCTTAAGGAAGAGGTGGTAATGATTCCAGTACCCAAAGGCCATGACAACCCTCAGCAGCTCCCCAATCCTGCCCACTGAAATGGGACAATGAGACACTGTATTTCAGTGACTCCTATGTCCACACATAGTAACATGACACAAACAAGTGACTGACATGGCAAAGGAAGCCCTGAACACCAATCAATGGAAATTCAGTCACCAAGGATCTTTGATGTCATTTGGTTGTAAAGGTTGCTTTGTATTGATATTCCTAAAAGCCCTTCCAGTGGTAAATGGCATCTCAGTTCATTTTGTGATAGAGACCTGGTGTGAATGCTCAAGAGAGATGGTGTAAGAGTTCTTTATGTGCTGACATGTTAGAGCAAGCAGTTAGAGTAAGGTCAGAAAATGACACTAACATTGGTAAGATATTTGTGGAGATAAGGAGGAAATCCACATTTAGGCTATATGGTATGCCAGAGATTTGGTGGAAGTGACTGGGTAAGGAAAATATTGACTTCATTACAAGTGAATTGGATTAAAAGTTTAAATCAGGGACCTTCCCTGGTGGCACAGCAGGTTAAAGCACAACACTAAGAAGCTAAAAGCCACTTCCACATGAGTTCAATTCCCGCATGAGTTCGATTCCCGCCTGCCCCAGCCAGAGGTGACCCACATGGCGTGGCAGACTTCTCCTGACCTGCCCAGTGCTCCCCTCAGCAGTGTACTTTGTCGATCTGCCTATTCTACTCCCCACTCTGTCTTTGGTGAATCCTCTCACT